GTTTCTGATGTATGGCAGTGTGATCCTTTTCATAGCTTGTGTTGGTTGTGTTGTAGTAGGTAGAGTGGTCAGGCACTTTTTGATAAAGTTGTGTGGATATCCAAAGTTGACCTGCCTGGTCAGAGAAAAAAAAACAAAGACTTTTTTGAAAGACTAGAAATCTTAGATGGACTTTTTGCTAAAAGAAGAAAAAATATGATTTATGGGTTTGAAGATTTAAAAAATGTGGATTAAGTGTGGGGCTGAAGGGATTTGTATAACATCCAAGAGGGAGGATTATAATATTGTAATTATCTGTTGAAGAGAATGCGGAAGTCATTATATTTCATAACTTTAGTTTCTTTTCATCCTTTTTTCTTTCCTTGCACCTTTTTATTTCTTTCCTTTCTCTTTAGATTTGTCTTTTACTTTATGTAAAATTCTCAATAAATTAAAAAAAAAGGAGAATCAGACTATTCCTCCTCCCTGTTACTAGTAGTGCTCTCCACTTCAATCTGCCATAGTAGGATAACAGCATCATTTTCTTCCCTTTTCAAATGCCTCACCTCATGAACTTCTGCATTAGAATACAGGACGGGGCGTGGGGGGCACTTTGTCCTTATAGGTCTCATAAAAGTCAAATCAATCGTAATCATTTTTATTCATGCAAACTCAGCTAGGCACTTCTATTGGTTATTATTTGGGGATACATGGACATTCTGCATTTAGGCATTTAAGTCAAAACCAGCTAGGCTTTGTTACGTTAAACATATAAAAATGTTGCAGAAGTGGGGAATTAGTGCAGCTTCAGTTGTTTCTAACTGATAACTTCAAGCAGCACCAAACAACATAGAAAGAGGTAATCTTACAACCAGTTGTGCTACTATTCCAGATTTTGGAGGGGGGGGCTTGCAGTTCCTGAATATGTATGCAAAAAGGTAAGAGTTACCATCTGCTTGCTCTATAATAGATTAAGGGAAGCATTCAATGGATCTTTGTCAATGGAATGTATTTCCTCATCTAAAGCTTTGGAACCCACCCTTGCAAGGTGGTGGGTCCCCTTTTTCGTGGTAGCTCTGGCCCGGCTTATCCTGAGATCATGATGGCCTCCAGATTGCTAGTTTTTGGGAAAGCAGAGAGGACAGTTTGTTTTTGCTGAGTATTTGTTACTTAAACACTATTTTGCTGGGCTGCTATTTGTTTTCAATATTTTAATGGATAAGTGGTTGAACTGTTTTATAGTTGTAAATACCTACCAGATTAGAAACATGAGGTATTCAGAGAAAGAGCTCTGGGTTGATTTCTTCTAAGATCCCTTTGTTTGTTTTCCTCTCATGAGTCTTCTCCAACACCAAAGTCCAGCAGCAGCTTCTTCAAAGCCCACCTTTTGCATCCATAGATAACATTTATAAGAATTGTAAACGTAGAAGAAGGTTTGGTTTCATGTCTTGGCACTGCTGCAATGGGGTATAAAAAGCACTGAGGACTTCACAGAAATTCTGCTACTCCTCATAGCTGGAGGGAGAAACAAATTTAGATAATATAAATAATCCAGAAGCCAGTAAGGTAGAAATAAAGAATTTTCCACAGGACCAAGAAAAAAAAAAAGCACTATAATGTCACTTTCAAAGAACACAAGGAAGTTTTACAAGATACAGAAGAAATTATGCAAATTGTGACTCAATCTCTGGCAGCTATTACCCAATATTTACTATCTTTACTTCTCCACAATGTGTAGAGGGCTGGATTCTTATGTATCTACCAGCCAGAATATCCATGCCAGCGAAACAGACCTAGGGATCTTTTCTAGAACAAACATAATGGCAATCCTTTTCCAAAATTCCAAATTCCACCTTCATGTGGATACAGAGGCAAGTCCATTTGCTGTGTATTGCTAGACAAACAAGGCTGAGAGAAAAGCCAAGATGAGTTTCCAGTAATGAATCTGGTACCATTTTTATTAAAAGATAGACAGCACTGCAAGCAATTAAAACTATCAATTAATCCAGTTTAAAGGTGGGGGGGAGAACAAGGCTATTTGGTAGAAAGGATGAAAGTTTTTTTTTTCTTTTCTTTTCTGCAAGGGGGCACTTTTTAATAGAAGCAGCAATATTAACTTTGGCTGTAAATATTGTGAAATAAATAAATATTAGATATGCAGCCTTGTTAAAAAATACTGTAAATGCCTTCGCTCCTGATCTATAATTGTTCTATAGTGTTATAATATTAAAAAAAAACAACCATGTAATGCAATCCAGGGTCCAAAAGAGTGCAGAAGAGTTATAATCCAGAGGATTTCGCAATGTAAAACTGATGACTTAGTACATAATGGGTGGAATTCACCGAAGGAGAGCTTGTGTAAATTCACATTACAGAAACACACAAGACCATATGCATTGGGTTTCCATATCTAAGCTCCAGAATAACGTTTTTTTGCTTCCGGCTTAGCTCATAGCGCGTCCTTGCTATAACGATTTGCAACCCGTGGTTCATACCCTAAGGTTCACTGCCACCACGCAACTCATTCTGTTCACCGAATACTCCTTGACCAAGGCAACCAAGGCCGATGTGATGAGGAACACTTTCTGTCTATCATCAAACTGACCTACCCGTCTGACCAACAACAAAATAATAAGTAGCCCAATACAGCACTGTTCTAAGCGCTACAAGGAAAAGAAAAGGCGGAAGAACAGCTCAGTTTTACAGTGGGAAGAGAAAAATAAAGTCCAGAGATGGGGAAAGCCCTAACTGGATTGCTCGTTTGGAAAAATGTCCAATCGCCATCGGCGCCTCTTACCTTGCCTGCAACGCTAAACGCGACCTGCAGGAACCAGGGCAGCGGACCAGCCGCCTTCGCGGAGCTCCCCTGAGAGGCGGTCGAAGGAGCACCACGCGGGCCGAGGGCTCCGCGTCGGGCGAAGGCCGCTGCGAGCTGCCGCGGGCAAAGCACTTGCTCCGGGGGTGGCTTGTTGGTGGCTTGGCCCTCCAAGTGGAGGGGCCGACCCGTCACGCTGGAGGGCTGCGCCCGCGTGGTGCTACGCCGGCGCCCAACCACTCTGGAGAGGACGAAGAGCCGGCGGCGCGGCGGTGTCTCGTCTTCATCTTGCAAAACGAGGCGAGTCGTAGTTGCATTTTTCACCCTGGTGGTTTCGTCCCTCTCACAGCTTGAGGCAGGCGGGCAGCCGGCTTCGTCTCTCTAATAGCCGGGCCACCCTTACATTAAAAAGGGCAGGGCAGGGCAGAGGAAACAGAAAAACAGACAGGAGCATTCGGAGGAAAGTACAGGCGAAATGAAAACTGACGTAGTACTTTTCCCACGGAGACCCGCGGTTAGGAAGGGTGAATGATCCCTCCTCCCTGGCCTTTGAGCATTGCTCCCCTTCCCGCAGAGCAAGCAATGAGCTTCCAAAACAGGGAGGCGCTCTATTCCTGTCTTCCACAGCCTGAAAAAGTCGCTCCCAATTGGCTTGAAAGCTTCCCGGCCGCTAGATGGGAAGAGTTGCATCTCCCCTCTACACCCCCCCACTTTTCCTCCAGATTCTTAAACAATTTTTTTTTTTTTTTTTGGCCTTCGAGTCAGTCTTGACTCCTGGCAAGTGCCTGGAAAAGCCCCTGCAGTTTTCTTGGCAAGGTTTTTCAGAAGTGGTTTGCCCTGGCCTCCTTCCGAGGGCTGAGAGAGAGAGAGACTGGCCCAAGGTCACCCAGCTGGCTTTCGCAGCTGGCAGTTAACTGAAGGGAAATGGGGACTGGGAGGTCCTTATGTCATCTGTATCAACAATACTGTACACTCCACATGCCAGGTAACTGGATCCGATGGTCCCTGACAGTAACGTGATGGTAACTCATCACATTACTGTCCACTAGTCTGTTAAGTGTACCAGTGCCCGCTTCTTATTTGATTAGTTATTGGATTGGCAGATCTGCAATGGATTTTACCATTTCCAATAAAGAAATACACCTGTGAACGACTGGAAACCTTTTATACCTGTAAACTACTTTTTTGCCCAGCACAGCATAGAGCCGTTTCTTGGCCATTTCAACACCTTACTCTCAGTAGTACTAGTAGGACTCCATTCACTGAAAGACGCTGTCCTTGTGATCCGAATTCACCTGAGACCCCATTGCATGTATTTTCCCCCTGCCCTTTCTTGACCAATGTATCTGCAGACATTTCTTTAACACCTCCTAACAGAACCCCAATTTCTACTGACGGAGAGGTAGTCCATTTCCTGTTTTCAGACTGGACCCCTCCCATCACCATTGGGTTGCTAATTTTCTACTTGCAGTGATTTCCATAAGAAGGCAGAACAATGTCCTAAACTTGGAGTGATGACATTATGAAAGTTGTTTTTTTCTATTTTATTTTACTGTATTCCTATTTTACTCTGTTTCTATTTTACTTTATATTTTATACTGTTTTACTCAATTCTCCCCTTTAGTTTTTAAGTCTTAATCTTTTAGGTTTTACATGACTGTTATACTGTCTTTTGTCGTATTTGGTCATTGTTTCAGTATTTTGTGGTTTTGTTTTGGGGGGGTTGTTTTTGTTTTGTTTTGTTGGACCCAAAACGGGGTTCTTGCCCAGAGACAACTGCCAATAACTTCGCCGGACACGAGAAACCTTTAGAAGTTTCCTTTATTGTTGGCAGCAGTAAAGGGGCTACCTCTGTCAAAAGGTTTTACATGACTGTTATTATATTTTACATGACTGTTATTATTATAACTTCGCCGGACACGAGAAACCTTTAGAAGTTTCCTTTATTGTTGGCAGCAGTAAAGGGGCTACCTCTGTCAAAAGAGGCACCCCGAACACAACGAAATTGGTTTTTTTAATACATTAAGTTCAAGAAAACAGAATCAAAAGGAAGGATAATGATTGGTTAGGAGCCTCTTTATGACCCTGTGTGTCATATCAGTGCAAACTTAGATTATTATGATGGATGACTGTCAGATGGCATCTCGTTATTATAAATGGTCAGTATACAATACTAGGAAGTCTGGTATCAGAAAGAGATAATATGCAGGGAAGGGTCATTAAGCATTAATCTATCTTTACCATAAGGAAAGGGCACCAAAAGGAAAGGGAAATTACAGGATAATTCCTCTGTGTCTTGGGAGGTTTCAGATATGGGTTACTACATCTTGACCCTAAAGAAGGGTCACTAAGGTTAAAAGACCCATTATCAGTTATGGATTCTTGCTTTCCCACAGGAATCACATGTACAATATTTCTCCATTTCGTGCCCCTCAATTTTACTTTGCTGGTTACTGTCCACAAATAAATAAATTTGATTTAATTTTATTCGATCTCTCCTTCCTAAAGTGAAGTGAGCAGGCAAGAAGTCTAATTGATAACAAGCGTTTATGTGATTCTAGGACAGCAGATGTCACAGTTCCATCTTCCTAGAAGATCTCCAAAACCATGGCCTTAATTAGGCGCTGCCACCCTCCTCCCCGGTAGCACAAACACAGAAGTTAATCTAAAACTGATTTGGATGCTGAATATGCTGATTTCAAAATAAGAATCCTGAGTGACTATAAAATGAAGTTGGTCTGGGAAAATAAGCATGAAAAAGGAATTGAAATCTGAGCAGATTGCAGTTATGAAGAACATGGAAATACAAATGTTTATATATATCAAGATAACACTTCCTGCAATTACAGCCCATGAAATATTTCTTCTCAGTTTTCAATAAGAGTCATTATCTCCAAGAGGAAGGAGAGAAATTCTCACTTCTAAACATGTGCTAATAGTGACTTCTAATTTAGAATTTGGGCACTCCCACATGAAGGCTTTGCTGCAGAATCAGCTCTAGATTTTCCTAAACTCGGGATACTATCTGTGTTTGCTTGCTGGGGACCATTTCTTGCTGTCTTTGCTGCAGTGTGTCTTGAAGCACAACAAAACTGGTTGTTGCAAACTGGCAGGGAAATCGTTGAAAATCTCACTGGCAGATCCCTTCTTCCAAAGGTTTCCCAGGAAAAGATCATTTCCAGTGGGATAAATTGACTAGATATTTTAGGCAGCATTGTTTCTTACCTTTATATCCTGCCTTTCCTTCAGGAACTCAAGGTAGTATACATAACAGAACCTCCTCCATTTTTTCTCCGAAACAATAACCCTGTGAAGTGGATTGGGCTGAGAGAGTGACTGGCCAAAAGTCACCCAGAGAGGCTTTATGGCTGAGGGTTGACTAGAACCTGGGTCTCCTCATCTCTAATCCAACCCTAACCACTGCTCCACACTGGCTCCTGGTGGGGACTCAGAGAAAGACTTGTATATTCTAGAGGGAAATAAGTGTGTTGCTGTAATGTGCCTGTTAAGCCTCTCAAGGAGAAGTCAAAAAATACTTTGGCTCATCAAATTCAAGGGTGTTGTTTTCAAAGGAGAAATTGGGGATTCAGGACAGAGATACAGGGGCATCTTCAAGGGGTGTCAGAAAAGTCAAGATGGTGGTCGTAAGTGCATGTTTGAAGCCCCACCCATTTTCAAGTGTGTTGCCCATAATTCTGAATTATACCTGCAAAAACAAAACAGATCAATATACTTCTTCACAAACACACCAAAGGCTACTGATGCAGCAATTACACAGAGAATGGCAAACAAGATTTGGAATCAATTAAATTTATTCTGTATTAAACTTCAGAAAGACTGGAGCAAATGTTAACTGACGAGTTACTAGCACTGATTGTATTTATTCTCTTTCTGTTCTATAGCTTTGGATTCTTACTTTTTACATTAAAGTTTCAGAATTTACTTTTTTTTGCTTATGTAAAACACAAATAGTTATACATATGCAACCACAAATAATAATTAGAGCAGCACACACTATGATAACAATTAAAGTCACCTCATTTATCACACTGTTGGTTCCATTATGGGGAGCTTCCACCCGAAAAGTGGTGTTTGTAATGTAAGGATTGGTTGGACTGGGAGGAGTAGAGCTATAAGGATCGGTTGGACTGGGAGGAGTAGAGCTATAAGGATCGGTTGGACTGGGAGGAGTAGAGCTATAAGGATCGGTTGGACTGGGAGGAGTAGAGCTATAAGGATCGGTTGGACTGGGAGGAGTAGAGCTATAAGGATTGGTTGGACTGGGAGGGGTAGAGAGCAATGGAAGCACAACTGCTCTTGCTATATTAGATACTTCCCCAACATTGTCGCTGCCATCAGTGGCACGAATGGCAAAGTAAACTGCTGTGCCATTTTCTTCTGTGAAGTTTTCCAACTTATACTGAAAGGACTGTTTGACCCCAGCAACGTCAGGTTTCAGATCAGATGTGTTCACAGATATGGCACTTTGAAATGTATCTCTTAACTCCGCAGGATTTCCACTCATTTTTATTTCATATTTTTCAGCTGTAAAATAAAACCAAAATCAAAATAAACAGAAATATTTAGAGAGGACCCTTTCAGTGAACTACAGACTTCCTGTCCTCACAAACACTCCAAAACACTTGGGAACTGATATCTGTCATGAAATCTTTGTAACAAATCACAGAGGATTCTGGGACATGTTCTAAAGCAGAGCCATCCCATTGAAACCAAAATACTCTATATGGTAAATTAGATTGCATTCATCCAATTTTATCTGGTGAGGAAAATTCCATATAGTTTTAAATGTTGGGGTTAGTAACAAGCAGTATGTTGTTCCTCCTTTAACGTTATTTCCTCTGCCTAACATAGGAAAGAAAATATTACCTTTCCCCTTATCATAATCGTTCCCGGGAGCTGTCCATGACAAAAGGAATTCATCCTCATCACTGAGTTTTACTTCAAGATCAGTAACTCGAGATGGCGGAAAGACATCAAGAGGACTTCCAGAAGTCACTCCTGACATTACAAAAGAACCTCCTGAAGCAATTCTGTTGAATTTTCCAAGGTTTGCTTGGGTATCATTATCACTGGCTTCCGGTCTTGGTGCATTCATTTTTATTTCACCTATTGTAAAAAGTTTTTAAGAACGTCATTCAACAGAAACTCCAAACATTCTCATTATTCTGATACCTATTTGAATTGTCTAAGAAGAAGAATGGGAAATTATTTCCATATCTATATGATCATGCCTATATAGACATCAGGGACTGTGAGATACATATTCATTAGGAATGGATAAGATATAGATAGATAGATAGATAGATAGATAGATAGATAGATAGATAGATAGATAGATAGATAGATAGATAG